TTTCCCAATTTTTATAACTCTTGTTTTTGGTGAAAAGTTATGTGTAAATGTTTTCACAAAATTATGTTTTTTTGTAACTCTTGTTTTTATGTGAAAAATAAATGTAGTTGTGTACATAATAACTAGGGGAAAATAATTAAAATACCCCAAACTTTCAAGGGGTGTGAGGTAAGCACCCCAAACTTTCATATGTAATTTAAATACCCCAAACTTTATATAAAAAGTTATTTTAGCACCATGGTCATGCATTATTTTTTTCAAAAATGCTACTTTTTGATGTTAATTTCATAATTTCAAATATTTTACCATTCATGAAGATACAATTAACATTCTAAACTTACATTATGAAATAAATAGTTCTACCCTTCCACTTCATATAATTACAACGTTTTCAATTTGCTATTTTAAATTATGCAATTAACACCATACATTTACATTTTTGAAATAAATAATACATGACCATGGTGTTAAAATAACTTTTTATAAAAAGTTTGGGATATTTTAACCACATATGAAAGTTTGAGGTGTTAATCTCACACCCCTTCAAAGTTTGGGGGTATTTTAATTATTTTTCCCTAATAACTATTGTAGCATGTGTTCTTACTCCCTATGAGGATATAATTTGACCCATCCAACCGACACCCCCACCCCCATTCCTTTCCCCCTTCCTATATATACTCTTCTCTTCACACTCTTTCTCTTTAGGGATTGCTGAAAACAGAAATCCCGATACCAGATTTCAAATTCATAAAAACCGCCGCCCCCCGCCGGCCGGTCACACTTCCCCAAATATGCAATTCCATCTGGCATCGTCGTCGCCGCCGGACACGAGCAAGACCTCCAAGCTGGATCGCTATAACAGCTACCTCAGAAAAGTCAACAATACAAGACTCCTCGCCGCCTCTTCCAAATTCCTCTTCAGAATCACTCTGTTGATTGCTCTGCTCCTGATTTTCTTCTTCACCGTTAATTACCCCCCGGTTTCCGATAGCTCCGGCCACCGCCCCACCGTCCACGCCACGACCCACAATTTGTTGTCGTCCGCCTTCTACGGCGGCGGCGCGTCATGGGAGAAGCGGGTCCGCGCGTCCTCCACGCCCCGCCGCTCGAACGGGTTCTCTGTTCTGGTCACCGGCGCCGCCGGATTCGTCGGGTCCCACAACGCTCTGGCGCTGAAGAAGCGCGGCGATGGGGTTGTGGGGCTGGACAATTTTAACTCTTACTACGATCCTTCCCTGAAACGCGCCCGCCAGAAGCTTCTGGAGAAACACCAGATCTTCATCGTCGAGGGAGATCTCAACGACGGCGAGCTTTTGAAGAAGCTTTTCGACATTGTCCCGTTCACCCACGTGCTCCACCTGGCGGCGCAGGCCGGCGTGAGGTACGCGATGGAGAATCCCCTGTCTTACGTTAGCTCCAACGTTGCCGGATTCGTGAACCTTCTGGAAGTTTCAAAAGCCGCCGATCCTCAGCCGGCGATAGTCTGGGCTTCTTCCAGCTCCGTATACGGGCTCAACACCAACGTCCCGTTCTCCGAGGACCACCGCACGGATCAGCCGGCGAGTCTCTACGCCGCCACCAAGAAAGCCGGCGAGGAAATCGCCCACACGTATAACCACATCTATGGGCTTTCGCTAACTGGGCTGAGATTCTTCACCGTCTACGGCCCATGGGGCCGGCCCGATATGGCTTATTTTTTCTTCACCAAGGATATGATCCAGGGGAAGGCGATTAACGTGTACGTGACCCAGGACGACAAGGACGTGGCGCGTGACTTCACGTACATCGACGACGTCGTGAAGGGCTGCCTGGGGGCGCTGGACACGGCGGAGAAGAGCACCGGAAGCGGCGGCAAGAAGAGGAAGCCGGCGCAATTGAGGGTTTACAACTTGGGGAACACGGCGCCGGTGTCGGTGCGGAAGCTAGTGGCAATTCTGGAAAATTTGTTGAACTTGAAGGCTAAAAAGAACGTGATAAAGATGCCACGAAACGGCGACGTTCCGTTCACCCACGCTAACGTAAGCCTAGCCTACAAAGACTTTGGGTACAAACCAACTACGGATTTGTCAACTGGGTTGAGAAAGTTCGTCAAGTGGTACGTCAGCTATTATGGCATTCAATCGAGGGTAAAAAAGGAATTAGACGGAACAGCTCTGTAGATTTTTTTCTTCTTTTTTACCCTTTCTTTTACCCTTTTCTGCTCATATTTGGGATTTCTATTCTTATTTTCTTTTGAAAAATATTGATGATGTACTACTGTATTTTTTAGTCATTTAAGGGTAGATAAACTTATGTAACAATATGAAAAAGTGGCAAACTGTTTCATGTGAAGTAATAAAGACCGGAGGTGGAGTTTGAAAAAAGGCAAGTAAATTCCTGTTCAAGTTACTCAATTAATTGAATCTGGAGAGACTATATTTATTATTTCTATAACAAAGTGATGGGATGTTTAAATTATTTATAAATGTCCATTTAATGAATTAAATTGAACGTATTATTCGAAGTACTGACTAGTAGCAAATACTTCGTATATTAAAGTAGGTTGATGTTTCATCTTCTATCCTAGCTAAAATGAAATTTTGATTGTCCTTTAGTTGTTATTATATCCAATTAAATAACCAAGAGCCCGTTTGGTAGCACCAAAAGCGGCTGTTTTGGCTGATTCTGCTGAAATTTATGATATTCTGGCTGGAGTGGCTGTTTTGGCTGATTCTGCTGATTTAAGAAAAAAATATTTTAAAAATATATTTTATTAATAAATTAAAGAAAAAATTATATGTAAAAATAGCTAAAATGGTCCTCTACAGTAATTTCAGCCAATACAGCCAGAAAAGTAACTCCAACCTTACTTTTTCGGCTTATTACACAATTCAGCGCGCGAAAGTAAAAGTTACGTGTTTGGTGAAAAAGCTGGCTGATAAGCCTGATAAGCCGAAAACAGAGTTCTCCAAACGGGCTCCAAGTGTGTTTTGGTAACAGCAAGTTAAATATCAAGATACAAGTACTCATATAATCATATTTATGTGAAGAGGAGTAATTGATGTTGTGTGAATAACATTATTGAATATGACATTAATATTATCATATTAATGTCAGAACATCAAATAATGTCAAAATACAACAATAATATTTTAGGATGATAATAATTCACGTATGTTAGTGAAATATTTTTAAAATTCACATTATTTTATTACTTTTCTTGTTCTTATTATGGACTAATCTTCCATGTGGGATACTATTTTTCCAATTGGTTATCTTTTTTCAAGATACTATTGCAGTAATATGGAGACTCGTCGAAGGGTCACATACTCACATTTAACGATATTTGATCAAGAGTGTCTCTATTTTGTTCTATAAAATTCTTATTGATTTGTCTTGGATGGAAGTTTAAGAAAATGAAAATAAAGTGAAAATGCATGATTGTGATAGAATAAGAAAAAGATAAATGAATGTCAACCCCATCAAACTTTTCAAAAAGGGAAATGAAAAAAGTTTTTGTAACAGTCAAAAAGGTACATGAGAAGATTTTTTTAGGATGAGGAAAGTGGTTATGAGGGATCAAATGTGGAAGGTTGATCAAGGTCCCTTGATTTTGCACGGCGTGAGAAGGATGATCAAGGTATAAGCTATGGACAAAAAAACGGTAACAAAACGGTATTGGCACAGAATTTGACACGGATTTAACGTATACTTGCTAAGCCCGTGCAAAAAAACTGTACAAAATCCGTGCCAATTTCGTTGTTTTTTGTAGTGGTAAGGGTCTTTAGGACTCTTGAAGTTTTGGATGCAAAGTTTATAATTTACAATGAGGTTTCATGAAGTTTTGTGTGGTGAGGGGGGTTGAGAATTCATTGACACATTTATGTGAGGGTATTTCTATACTTTCACTGGGACGTTGAAGGCATATATGAGTAAGATTGAACCCAGTTTACTCCATGTCTCCCAAACCCCACTCCCCCTGACGCCCCCTGGGGTAAAAACAAAATGAGAACACTCAAAAATCACAAGACTAAATTACATATCTCTCAAATATGAAATTTAAAATATAAGTTTAGGTTAAAATCTCTCAAAATCACAAGGCTAAATTAAAAAAAAAAATCGTACAATTTTAAAAAAATTACCGCCCCTGCCACCACCAGCTCCCATCATTGGAGAAAAATATGCCAACATTTTAAATAATGCCATAATGATGGCATATTCAATGAAAATGTTGGCATATTGAAGAGTAATTATGCCATCTTTTTGGCATTTTCAGAAAAAGATGACATTTTTACCAAAAGTGGAAGAAATTTCACCAATCGGAGGTGGTGGTGGTGCTGGGAGGCGGTGGGAAAGGTATCCATAATTTTTTTCATTTTATGGGTTTTTACTATTTTTATTATTTTTTAAAAAAAATTAAAAAAAATAAAATTTTAATATTTTATTTTATAAATAATTTATAAATTTTTTATAATTTTTTTTTACGTTTTTTAAATATTTTTCTACGTTTTTATGATTTTATTATGAATTAAAGCATTTCATTATGAATTAATACTCTTAGGGGTATTTAGGATAGAAAATTAATGTTTAGTCCTATTTAGGGAATTTTAAAAGTAGTAGTCCTATTTGTGCTTTTTAGGAACTCATTAGTCCTATTTAGACCAATTTCCGTTGAAGCTTATAGTGGGATTGTGGTCCTTTTGGAAGACTGATTGAGTGGGAGTCAACGCCTACAGCCTACTGAAATTGGAAAGGGACGTGGATAGTATTTTTATTGCTAGCTCAATCCCTTACTAAAAAATTGTTGCAAGGAAGTAAGTGTTGGATGCTTACTGTTATCATAACATCACCTCTTTGCCAGCAGTAGAATTCTTTGCAATGTCTCGCTGCTTTCCATTTCCACCACCTGGATATGAAAAGAAGCTTAGACCAGATGTAACACCCCGCCCCGTAGGGCCTGTGCGAGCACGCTTAACTTTAGAGTTCTTGGGTAATGAGCAAGGAGATGCACATCGGTTGGTATGAGTAGTACTATTAATGCTCTTATATTAAAATCGAGTATTACACCAGAAGATGCGAGCATATTGAAATAGGTTTGTGCAATTATATCAGTAACATGATGTGTAATCGGTCACAACTACACAAACATCTTTTTTTTTTTTGGATCAAAAACCAATTTTATTGATGAGAAGTACAAAAGTAAATGAAGGAAGAAAGTAAGAAATGCAAAAGCTAAAGACGATAAAAAAATTGCTAGTGGAAGAAAAGCAGAGAACATAATCCCAATTGCTCCAGATGTTGGCAACCCAAAGAGCTTGACATCCCAGTATAAGCTTTTGCAATCCAGCACCTTGACACCCCCAAAAGCGCAAGTACCTTGATGAAAAAATCCCTGCAATAAGAATAGAACCCCCAAGCGAATCTAATGCCCAGACAATTGTTTAGCTTTAATACGAGCACTCCTCCTAATTGGTTCAATTCGATAGCCGGTGAAGCTCACTACAGGATCAGTTATACGATCCAGTAGCTCCCTGGCTGTCAATTCTCTCCTAATATAAGTGATTTCATCATCATTTGCCTCATCGGTATCTCCAATCTCCCGCCCATCAGAAGAAGGGTAAGCGGCCTGAAGCGGCTTTTCTTCGACAATTGCATCTGCACTATAAACTTTCTCCCCATTAATCTCTATTAGTCCCTCTTGAGTATCTCCCTTCACCAAGTTCTCAGTTTTAATAGAACAAATTTCTGACCCGGTAGAAGAAGAGTAACCATTATGGATTAAATCTTCATGAAAAATCAAAGATGAAATTGATATAAAACTCCCCAAATCATATTCCTCAATCTCAGAGCTTGCACAAAGAACCCCAAAATCCTCCAAAGAGTTATGTGAAACTCTATTTTTAGCTTCTTTTAGAATGTCCCGCTCACGAAGAAGAGCACAATAGAACATATGAAAGCCTTTGCCTTTCCACCCTTTAGGCACTATAATAGTGGTGTTAATCCCATTCTAAAAAGCCACTAAACATATAAATCCTCCACATCTATTATTTTCCATAGATAAACAGATCTTTCGAGAGTTTTCATACCTAGTGAAGTGCCAAGTATTTCCGGACTGAAGTTGTCGAAAAGCATCGCAAAACCAGTGAGCTCCATCCATATCAAAAGAAATAGAACAATCAAAGTTTTTTTTGAATTGATTAATCCTCAAAGCATTAGAAGTTGAACTGAAGCTAATTTTTTTGGTCTCAATTGAAAATGAATTACTTTCAATCAAGAGAGAACCTCTGTACTCGTTTGGTTGAAGCTGTGTATGAGGCTAACCTTGATTTCCTTCCTCAGAAAACCTCATCTGCCATATCTCCCTCGCGGATCTACTGGAATTATTTCGCCAATTTTCCAATCTGCGTACTCCATTGTAGAGGCCCATACTGTTCTGTGAGCAAGCTTTTGTGCAGTTCTGACGCCAGTCTCCTCTCCATCTACGGTCTGTTGCTGCGATACTCCGACTCCAATCCGTGCTTCTCCACGACTGTCGATCAGTTGGGCGCCAGTTTGACGCCGGTCTCCATGTGCGTCGATCCGCAGGCCGCCGTTCCTTGTGCGGTCTGTTTGTTGTCGTTGTTCTGTAGTCATCGATTGGTCCTCTAGATTGTTGACGCCTTACCCATACTCCGTCGTCGGTCCAGTGACGAGATTCACCGGTCGGCAATGTCCCTAGCGCCTCCCAACAGGCTCGCATCCCAAAACCCTCTCAAAATTGCAGTATCTTTCTCTCTCTTAACTACACAAACATCATATACGCATCACGATGATATGACAATGAATGAGCAGTTTTCATCATTTTTTTATGCTTGCAATATATCTGACACATACATGTTTTATATGACCTGAGCATAGTTTCTGCATCCTTGGTCTTAAACGTGTTCATTGCACACATCTTTCACAGTTTAAATAAGAACTTAGAAGGTTTTATTGTACAGACGTACATTGGCCAAAGTATGTTTCATAGGTGATGGAGTATATGGCCCGGGGACCTCCGGCCCATAGACTCCTACTTCTCCTACACACGTCAAGCCCAATGAGCGCACAGAGACCAAACATAAAGGACCAAATACGAAGAAACCCATGGTGCACATATAGGTGCCTTCGGCCCTATAGCCGAGGGCTCCAAATTCCACATGGAAGCCAGATTTTAGCATACAGAGCTACTGGGAGAAAAATGCAGAAAATAGGAGCCTTCAGCTCCTAGGTGCCCTCAGCACATGGGTAGCCTTCGGCCACAAGATAGGCCTTCTGCTACAGAACACTCAGTGAAGATTCCCTCTGGGGACAGACAAGCACCGCATTCAATGCGGCGTCACGTCCAACCACCGCATTTAATGCGGTGCACATGCAAATGCTGGTGCCACCCTGATTGAGGCGACCCTTGGCCGTTAGATTAGCGACACGTGTACGCGCTTAGCATTTATGGATGCTATAAGTAGAAGCCCCTTTCCCCTTGTAAATGATCCCAACATCTCGAGTTCCTTAATATACTCGACTCTCTCTCTCTTGCTTGCTCTGACTTCTCTCTAGTTATTCTCCACAATAACTCTTCGGATAAGCTGCCCCCCGAGTACACTATCCATCAATAGGTAGGCGTCTATATTGTTAAAAGTTTGCTACTGATGGAGTATATGGCCCAGGAACCCCCGGCCTATAGACTCCTACTTCTCCTACACAAGTCCATTGAGCCCAGAGAACAACTCGGGCCCAAATGCAACGGCCCAAACCTCAAAGAAATCCGGAATACACACTGGGGTGCCTTCGGCCTCATTGGCCGAAGGCTCCAAAACTCACAGGGTAGCCCTCTCTGGCATAGGAAGCTACTGGGAGAAAACGGCGAAAAACATGAGCCTTCGGCATTATCAAGCCATCGGCATCAGAGAAGCCTTCGGCTGAACCAAGCCTTCGGTCACACAAGGCCTTCGGCTACACAGGGGTCCTTGGTCACATGGAGCCCTCGGCTACACAAGGATCCTTCGGCCAAACATGCTCAATCATCGAAGATTCCTTTTGGAGACAGCCAACCACCGCATTTAATGCCCTGTCACATCCGCCAACCGCATTCAATGCGGTGAACGTACCACTGCCGGTGCCACCCGGCTGATGTGACCCTTCGGCCGTTGGATTACTGACACGTGTACCCTCATCGCATTTATTGCTGCTATAAATAGCAGCCCTTATTCTCCTTGTAAACCACGCTAAGTTCATTTAATAAAATCGACTCTCTCTCCTCCTATTTACTCTGACTTCTCTCTAGTTATTCCCGCAATAACACCTCGGATAAGATACCCCCCGGGTAGACTGTCCATCAGCTACATTTTCCCTTTTTGGTAAGTTTATCTTCGTTTCTATGCTTTTCCACCACGTCTCCTACTTTTCCTACACTATTTATTACCCCTACTATTTTCTTTTTAAATAGTGTGCCAAAGCCTAAAGTAGCAATCATTAAAATACGGAGGGAGTATTATAATTATCCTTGTCGTTACCTGATAATTTACTTAATTCCCATGATAAACTCTAGTATTTTTATGGAAAATTTGGCAGGTTGATTGCATTTGTTACCGTTACCACAAACACGACTCTACCTTATTAAAGAACATATACTATGTATTTTTATGACATCATGGAACTTATATTTGTCAAGAAACCAACTAAAGCAATGAAATGCATCTGTGCATTTACTCCATGAGATCAATCTTGTAATAGCATGATAAATATTACCCTCTCTGTTCCTTAAACAAATTTCTAGTTTGATTGGCACGGAGAATAAAGTGAAAATCGTATGGTTGAGATATGTGAAAAGGTTATAGAAATAATAGGAACCCCAAATTAATTGATTAAGAGAAAGTGATAAGTTTTTGGGGCAACCATAAAAGGAAAGATTTGACAAAGTTATAAGGGATAGAGCCATAGAGGGAGTAATATAAGTCAAAATGTGTGTGTATTGATTTTTGGTGAACAAAAAACAAGACCTTTCATAATTGAAATGGTTGAAGACGGGAATTATTTAGCCACTCTATTTATACCCAACTGAACAATGACCAATGCTTTCCTTCAATAAATTTCATTCTTATTGGCTATTTAATTTATTAGTCAAACCATCTGTTTTTTGTGTTTTAAAATTTTAATGAGAATCTTATGAAGTAGGGGATTGTGTGTCCATTATATGATGTTTGCTACAGACGTCGAGGGAGAAACGGGGAAGGAAACATAGTAAGTGAAGGATAATGTAAAAGAAACATTGTTATTAGATGAAAGAAAAGAAAAATAGTTGTCACATCATGCATGTATAAAGAATGAGAGAAAAGCTAGAGTGCTTGGTCATGTGTATAGTGTGTTAAAAAGGGGAGGGATACGAACTGATCAAGTTGAATGGTCTTAACGTTACTAGGTGGTCTAGTAGAGTGTTTATGGTCTGATCTGAATGTTTGTGGTCTTGTCTTGTTTTTTTAATAATAACATTTGGTCTGGTCAGAATCTTTCTGGTCTGGTCTAATTCGAATATTTCTAGTTTGACCGTATTAGAATATGAACAAGTAACAGGCAAACCGAAATAATGTTACTGTTTATTATAAAACAAAGATATTTCTTCATCTTTGTAGGAGTTTGTTTGGGAGTAACATGATTGTTTTGGAATAGCAATCCTCCCGATTTGGTACTAGTTATGTTTCACTTAACTATAACAACAGTGGCAGAGCCACGTACTGGGCCATATACAATTGAACTGTCTGATGGAACAATCTAAATTGGCAATGCGAAGAATCTTCAAAATGAGAAGAGAAAGTGGCCTTAGGGGCTAGGGAATCCCCCCCCCTCTCTCTCTCTCTCTCTCTCTCTCTCTCTCTCTCTCTCTCTCTCTCTCTCCCTCTCTCTCTCTCTCTCTCTCTCTCAGAACCCAAGAAAGAATTGAAAATACACAGATACCCCATAAGCTAATCTATGCCAATGTGAGTTTCTTTTCTTCATTTAACATATGTTCAGTTTACTGGCTTCCATAAGAATCAATTATTTAATTTCAATATTTTATTATTTGGCCTGTTTAATTGTTGGTACATTTGTCAACATAGCTACTCTTTCTTATTAGATAGTTCGTCACATCTGAAATCTTATGCTGAGCGATATGACACGTAAAATAAATTTGACCGAGGAAAATGAGAAAAATGTTATGCATAACTCATCCTCATCATTACCCCAGTGCCGCAAAGGCTCTCACCTACGGTGGGGTAAAGAGGGTCGGATGTACGCAGCCTTATCCCTGTACTAAACTACAGAGAGACTGTTTTCGGATGACCCAAAGTGAAAATCGCGTTGAAAATTGGATAGATTGACTGCAACTTCATAACAATGAAGCCAAGAAGCGCAGACAGTTTTTTTTGAAAGGAAAACTGCTTATATTAATATCATTAGGGTTCGGATCGTTACATCAAACTCAAAGACATCCATACTGACAACCACAAACTCTAACCAACTATCACTATCAACCCTACGGCTAGACATAGAAACGACCACCCTTGAAAGAGCGATACGAATCGCTAACCACCAAACGGGTATCCAGCACTCACTGGCTATATCGATCCTTATAACAATATAATATCTAGCAGAATTGTCCCTCGTTATTTTAGGCCTAAAACTACATAAATTAATAAAAAACAGAACAACGTAATTAAGCAAAACACTAAAAGACACCCATAAAAATGAAATGACTGATAAAAACTCCAAACTCTTTCTGAAAACTTCATCTTCCACCAAAACTTGGCCTCTCGATGTTTCCAAGGCGGCGGTTCTTGAGGGGGACGAATCATAAACTCGTCATCTTGTTTCTCCCTTTCCCGAATATGGATTTCACTGTGCCAGATCTGCCAAAACAACCTCGTCAGTCGCCTTCCCAGCCGTTTGGAGTCCAAATCAGCCCCTTTCTTCAAGCCCGAACTCATCATTGTACCACCCGGATCAAAAACCACGGGTGTAGTTTCCATCTCAATGACCAATAAGGCCAAGATAACCCAGCCCAGCATTGATTTATCACGCCTCGCTACCTTACTGGTCACAAATCCGCAACCTCCTCCTGAATCGATGATCGCCAAAGACAACCGGCCATCGCTGTCGCCCTGCTCCATGTCGTTTGCCCAAAAACATTAAATCAAACTCGTCCGGTGAAGTGGTTGAGCGAGACACCTGCCGGAGTCCTGGTGCTTCCTCGCGAACAATCCAGGTGCTTTGAGTGAGACGCAATCGTCGTGCGAAGAGAAGAAGAAAAAACGCGGACGATCAATATCGTCGCCCCAACCCTAGGCACGAAGCCTCCCGTCCACACTTCACCTCCTTTGACTGAAGCTTGAAGAGGAGGAGATAGAAATCGATTTTGTTTTAGTGAACCATTTTGCTTTATTCCATCATATTCCCAAGCCAAAAAATAGTGAGTCTTTGGCTCCATTGCAAATGATGGGAAAAAAATGTTATGCATTACTATTTGATTTTTATTATTTTCTCAGTAATTGGCCTTGGGGACAAAATATGTGGATGCTATGTTGGGTGGAGGTTATTTTTTAGAGAACATCTTAGTACATGGGCTTGTAATACATCTTGTGAAACTATTCCCCTCACTGTTTTTCACCTAATTTGTGTTGATATATTTGTGCATGTGCAAATCAATAATTGTGTAGTATCATCAAATCTCAAAAATTGATATGAAATGCTTTGGTTTGCGTGAGATAATATTGTTTTATATAGCTAGCTAATTCCATCTTTAATGAAGTCTTGCTTGATATATTCCCATGCCCGGTTTTATTTTCTGAATTGCTTTGCAGTTTGCACATTTCCCCCTGGATTTTCTTTGCTTGTGTATGTTGTTGCATCAAATGTGTCTCTCCTTTTTGTCTTCCGGTATAAAGAGAAAGTAAAAAGGGACAAGAAGGACAAGAAAGATAAAAAGAGAGAGGGTAAAGAGAAAAAGGAGAACGAGAAAAGAGATGGGAAACACAAAGGACAAAATCAAAAAGATAAACACAAGGATAAGAGAGAGAAGCATCGGGGCAAAAAGGATAAAGAGAAGGATCAAGGAATAGATAAAGATAGGAGCAGCATTTCTGAAGAGGCAAGACTTGCTGATAATTCTAGTGCCAATTGCTCAAAGGCAGATGAATCAAAATATGTGCAGGAGTTGGGCAGGAGGATAAAAAATGATGAGAAATGAATAAAGGGAACAGATTGGCTGAGATTTTTTCTGTCGAGGTCAAAAGGGATGAGAAGATGGAGGAAAGGTTTGGAGGGGTACAAAATTTTGGAAATTTGGGAGTTGATAATAATGGAAAATCTATGGTTGGCAATATGCTTGAGCCCAATACGAACAAATTTGAAGGAATGCCCAGACCATTGGGGGTGGTCAATATTGAGAGGAAAGAAGAGGAGGAACAACCTAAAGGAGGCAATGAAAAGATGGGGCACATAAAGGAAAGAGGAAAAACTAGAGGGTTTGATGGAAAGCGTAGGCATAGTGAAAATCATAATAGAAGGGCTAAGAAAAGTCAGGAGGAGGACACAGACCGTAAAAGGGAGAAGAAGGAAAAGGTCAAAGAGAAAAACAAGGTCAACAACACTGAGTAGGATGAATTCAGAGCCATTACTACAACTGATTCCATTGTTGTTACTAATGGTGAAATTCCACATGTTTTCAAGGTTAAGAATAATGATGCTGCCCTTGAAGGAAAGATCATCAGCAAGAGGAAAACTGTAGAGAGGAATGGTCTTTTGCACAGTAAGTCCTTTGAGGCTGATAGAATAATAAAAAAATGTTCTCCCATAACTGTTGGATGGAAAGAAACATTACCTGGTCTTCCCTATCAAGTGTTATTATGTTGACAGCAAAATGGTCCAATTAGAAATTATTTACATACAATCCCTCCAACACAAAAAAAAAACTAGAAGTTCTGTTTCCAAATTGTTTTTGTCCCAAAAAGTGTGCTTTTAAAAATCAATGTTCATTATAAAGTGAAATTCGTGTGAATCCAAGCAGAAGGCAGGTTTAGTTAAATACTCCAAAACAATGTTGGAAGTTAGCTTTATGGGAACCAGTGTAAGTTACCATTATTCATAATAATTTGTAGAAGCTTGGACTTTGATTGAGCAGACTGAATTAAAATGATGTACCTTACTAAAACATGATTTTTTTAACAGATGGAGATTTTATATTTTCCCTACTCATTGTTTGAATATGAACAGAACTGTTTTAGCTTTTAATGACCTTGTTTTGGGGTGATTTTAAATGCTCTCTTATCATCTCACAGAAGATGAGACTAGGCCAGCCAAAATACCCAGGCCTGCTACTACTCCTCATGAGATGCTAGTGAATGGAAGTAAGGTGGATACACTTCAAACTCCCAATATCATTACTACAGCTGGACAAGGAGGTTTCTCTGATCTTAAAGTGGGTAATACGGTCCACATAATCAATGGTAAAAAGTCCGTTTCACCAACAATGACCACTGCTTATCGAATTTCTGTGAGATGTCTCACCGTCCCAAAAAAAATCTCCTCATCCGGACTTGAAGTTTCTCAGCCAGATTCTCTCTGTTCCCAAAATGGAGGAGTGGAATGAATGTGATGGCCAGGAATGGCTGTTTGAATGCAAGGATGAGTTATCATCAGGTAGGAAGTGTATGGATATTCCTTCTGCTGATATAGAGCAACAAGTATGGTCAGAAGCTCGTCACTATATATCTACTGATATTGTTGCTCTTCCATATGTCATTCCATACTGAGTAGTGCTTCTCATTTTGATCGAATTTTATGGGTGAGATCTTCAAATATGGACACCGTCAGTTCCACTGTTTTCTCAATCTTTGGTCCAAAAATATGTAGTTATGTACGGTGAGCTCCTGGAAATGATTTTTTTTATGGAGGCAGGCTAGAGATCAGATGAAAGCTTGAGTTGCTTTAATTAAAGCTGATGTTTCTTATTGAGTGTAAAAATTATGATCAAAATGTAAATTTATAGTACAATTTTGGTTTGTAACATAGAACAGAAGTCTAGACTCTAGATGTTAGATAGATGTAAAAGAAAAAGGGGTTTGGTTGCGATTCATTATCATTTTGATTTATTTATTATTGTTGCAACTTGCAAGTAGGGCCATATTTCAACTTACACCACTCGTTCCAACTGCAATGTAGTTTTCCTTGGAAGGTTCCAAATTTTTTATATTTCCAGACCTTAAAAAGTTTTTCAATAAAGTCTGGTAATAGATATTCCAATCCTGGCTTAGCATGGGTTTTAAAGTAGTTTTTTATACATAAATTACATTCTTAATATTAGTTAAATCAATTGTTGCAGAAATTGTTAAAAAATTCAAGTAGTTGAATTTGCTGATTTATTGTAGTTTATTCAAAAATAAAAAGTGCTACGTACTACGTAATACTACGTATCAAATAAAAATTTCTTCTAACCAAATGTCATCAATAGAGTACTTGAGAGTTGAGACTTTACTTTTTTTTTAATTACACATCGAATTAAAATTTTACAGATTTGTTAAAAAAAAAATTGACTTGTACGTACAACTAATAACAAATGATTATCATATTTCACTCGATATAGACGAAATCAGAACATAGCAGATTCAAACAATAACAAAATATTAATGCACAAAAAAAATTCGTGTCAAATTAGGCAAGTTTGGGTTTAAAAGATGAACGAATCAGATAATTTTAAACCAATTAAAAATATTTTGACATTTCAATCTCCCAACCTTTCATTTGTTCGAATCTTCAATTGCAAATTTGCATTACAAACCAAGTTACAAGTTAGACGTAAACAGAGCATTTTGCACAGGGAATTAAACAGTTGGCGCCGACCCATGTTTGAATTAATTACCTTCGGCGTGAAAAAAAATTTAAAAAACCATGTTACTTGTATTTTATTACGGAATATTTTATTTAGGAGGGGTTTCTGACTTTCTTCCCAATCTTCTGGAAAAACGAGAAGTATATACGCGTAGCAAATTAAGAGAAGCATTCATTTGCAGGAAACTAAAATTCTCTCATAAATGAAAATTGATGCGGCGGTCTAATAAACAGAAAGAAAGAGACATTTTCGGCCACCTGGATGACTGGATTTCGATTTTATGCCGTTCTGATATTTATTTAAATAAATAAAACCCATTTTCATTTTAACTTGAATTTTACATTCCGCAACGGAATTCAGGGTTCTGATCTTTAAATTTTTTCGTATTTCTCATTATTTTACTCACGTGAACACATGCAAAGAAACCCAAAGAAGGTTTCTTCTTTCTCCGGACTCTCGAAAATCTCTGTTCCACTTCATCGTACAGAATATTCTTTCTTTCGTGTGTCTTGAGTTTGATAATCTCTTCTCCAATCTGCTGACACGTAAGTAAAAGGTGATCTGTTTTCCAATTTTCACCCAGTTTCTTTAAAAAAAACAATTTTTCATAAGAAAGAACGCATTTTTACAATGCAGGGTTGGGTTTGATTCGAGGAGCTCGATATTCCCATTTCATAAAATCCCACTCTTTGAATGGGGGGATTTTCTGACAATGTACGTGGACTGCTTTTAGCTCTGTCGTCTAGCATTTTTATTGGATCGAGCTTCATCATTAAGAAAAAGGGTCTTATGAGGGCTGGTGCCACTGGAAAACGCGCTGGTTTGTTCTTCTTCTTCACATCTCTTTCTGGATTTCTTCAATTATGCATTTCCTCGGGCCATTTATTAGTGGCTAGGTTTTCAATTTTTCAAATTTCTGCTGTGATTGTTCAAATAGAAGTCAATGTCTTTAGTATTTCATCAGGTTCCGGAGGCCACTCTTACTTGCTTGAACCTTGGTGGTGGGCTGGGATGATAACCAGTAAGGTCATTTTTTTACAAGTATATACTTCAATATTTGTTCTTAATTTACAAAAAAAGGATTTTTTGGGGCGTGTACTGTGTAGTGATAATAGGTGAGGGTGCAAATTTTGCTGCGTATGCATATGCTCCAGCCATTCTTGTGACTCCATTGGGAGCTTTAAGTATCATCTTCAGGTCAGTCAGATGATAGTGTCCCTACAATTTTGAACTATGATAAAAGCTGTTTTCCAGTTCAATTAAAGAAGAAGAATATTAAAATGTGTCATGATTTAACATTTACGCAGTGCAGTGCTAGCCCATTTCATATTGGGTGAAAGATTACATATGTTTGGTGTGGTTGGGTGTATCCTCTGCTTGGTGGGGTCAGTTAGTATAGTTTTGCATGCTCCCTTAGAAAAGAAAATCGACTCTGTCAAGGAGGTTTGGAACCAAGCAACTCAGCCAGGTAGGCATATTGCATCACTTCTTGAAACTCTTTCAGTTACAATGGCCTTCAAGGGCTGGTCTGGATAGAGGGTTTTGGAGGGGAAGGTTTCAGAAGGCTCTTTTTATCTTCTAATGAACAGAATGTTTTTCAAAACTTCCCCTCCGAAACCATTCTAAACCCTCCATTCAAATAGACCCTAAATGGGGTATAAAGTACTAGGAGAGCAAAATAAATACAAGAATGATAGAATTATACTTATATGTTAAAGAATAGTTTTCAAGGAAATGATTTATAGGTGTGAAGGTTTGTTTTCTGTCATGAAAGGCCTACTTATAACATTCATGACATCTCCTCCTCTATGAGGTGGGCAAAGGTGGTTACACTTTGAGAGGTGTATTTGACCCTCTACATTTGCCACATTAGCACTACAATGGAAAGCTAGTGCCACCTGAGAATGCTTAACCAGTTGACAAAAAGAGGACCCGCTAACTGGAGGACTTGTACCTATCTTTAATGGTTTGGGTGATTAATTGGATCCTACTTTAGTTCAGGGGCACAATTGTACATTTCAGTAAAGAAAATAGCCACATTTGACCACTTTTTTCCTCAAAATAATAAACAACATAAAAATGTTGTTGCGCACATCGCCAGGTTTGTGAAGCTTTCTCACGGCCTTACCACACCTTGTGCCTTTGAGAAATTTATATTCTGAACTCTTTTTCACCTTTATATCTGTCATGGATGGATACTGACAAATGCTAGAGAAAGAAAACTAAATGCTAAGAAAAAACATGTTCTTATGTTTGGATTTACCATGATAATGCATTGGAAAATCAATATGATTACCATTTTTTCAAATTTCTACATCTGTTTCGATTGTTTAGCATTTATATGACAGTAAAAAGAAATTTGAACCAATATTGAAGAATAATTAATTGAGTTTGAAACAATCTTTTACTTTCCTCAATGTTTTATTTCCTGTCAATTTTCTCTTATATTTTTCTCTCTGTTTTCTTTCCCAGCATTTTCCGCATCCCAAACAGACCCTAATAGTTGCATGGAAAGTTTAATGAGCCAAAGTAGAGAGGCTAAGGGAAACATCTAGATATTTTATATATGTCCATACCTTACAGTGTAGTAGTTTAAGATACAGTTTCTTCTTCTTTGCTATCCTCTTGTTTATTTATATATTTCCAATCCTTTGATATGTGCAGGATTTATAATCTACACTGTCATGGTTATAGTTCTGGTTGTGGTGCTAGTTTTTCGCTATGTGCCACGCTATGGACAAACACATATGGTTGTCTACATTGGAATCTGTTCCCTCACTGGCTCACTAACGGTTCGTTCCCTCCCCTAATTATAAGAAAACCAAAATAGATTGGGTTGTTCCTCTTTGTGTATGCCCTTATGATTGCCTATTATCTATTAATTTTCTACCATTTTGTTGGTGGTGCAGGTTATGTGTGTGAAAGCGGTTGGGACGGCTCTGAAGCTCTCATTTGAAGGAATGAATCAATTTAAATACTTCCAGACATGGTTCTTCACTATATGTGTCATCATGTGTTGCCTTCTTCAGCTAAACTATCTGAACAAGGTATTTCTGAGATCAGTTTGAGGATTCTTTCACTGTCGTCATGCACTTTGGTGACTAAGGTTTTGATTTTTAACTTGGAACCCATTTGGTGAGCTTTATGTGAGTAAAAGTTGCTGAATTTTGTGAAATAAAAAGCATTTGATGACATCCATTCCGACCGCATAAGTTAAAAATCACTTAGTTTGATGAGTAGAATAAGCAAAATATGCCATATAAGGCTACCAAACAGAGTCTAGAGCCCGTTCGGTGATAGCTGCAATGGATGCTTTGAGTGAATGTGCTGAACTGATTGACTCCACAGTGTTTGGTGGGTTTTTAGGGTAAAAATGGTCAATTGCATGCATACTTTGCAAGGGCAAGTAGTATTTTTTCGCATGTGGCAAAACAAGAAAAGGAAGACAAAATTTTCATTTCATTGTAAAAATAAGAGCCAGCCTAAAAAGTATCTCAAAATCCAAACCAGTCAGATGTTGGGGTGTTTGGTCCTTTTTCCAGTCTTCTAAGGCGGCGAAGCTCATATGGGCTTACCAAACGTGCTCTTAGTTTCTTGTCAACTGGTGCTTGATGTCCACAATAACGATACTACTATAACTTTAATAATATGATGATAATAATAATAACTACAAAAAACTAATGGTGGTGGTGTGATGTATGTATAGGCGCTGGACACATTCAACACAGCAGTGGTGTCGCCAGTGTACTATGTCATGTTCACAACACTCACGATTGTAGCTAGCGTCATCATGTTCAAGGTACTGATGAAGAGTGATGAGTGATGCATGATGATGATATCGCATACCAAACTCTCCCCTTCCCCCATCTTACACTCATGATATTCATTATTTCTTTCTTTTTTTAGAGCATTTGCCCTTTCTGGTGACATGACTTTGTTTTGGTTGGCAATTCTTTAGGAGTGGGATCACAATGATGTTACACAGATAATTACAGAGCTGTGTGGGTTCATGACCATCCTCTCAGGCACCTTTCTCTTGCACAAGACTAAAGACATGGGTGGTGCTGGTGGTGGTACCACCTACCCCCCTATGGCAATGCCAATGGCATCCGCTACGGTCACCACCAATGCTGACCAGAACCGCCAGGATGGTAACAACATTGGAAGAAGCGAAGAACCCGAGGAGGTTTGAATGAGCGGTTAATTTTGTTTGGTTACTAACAAAATCATTGCTTGGGATGTAAGCCCCCCAATCTATTGTGGTGCATCGGTTGTTCCTCTGTTCTGATTTTGTCTCGGAAAACAAGCATCACACCGTATTATGATATCAAATTACTGGCATTTTAGATCCGGTGAATAGTTAGCAAGTATTATAAATATAATGATCTATGCTAGTTGATCACAATAACAATTTATAATTAAAGATGGTAAAGTCACTTCCACAAGAAAAAGGTAATGTTTATTTTTGAATCTATGTCGACATGACGTACTTAAGAATGCTTATCATACATTCATACTGTGTTTGGACTTCATTATTTTTGTCTAAAAATAGACACATTTGACAACTAAATCACTGATTAGAAATATAATTAGTATTCCTTCCAAAAAAAGAATATAATTTCTAAAACATAAACAAAAATCAAAAGTTTAAAAAATTATATGTTCATGTTCTTCAATTCCAACTATTCAAATCCACCAGTTATTAGAAATATAAATTGTAAAACATAAAAAAAAGTTTCAGTAATACGGAGTAATATGTTCACGTTCTTCAATTCCAACCATTCAATTTCACCAGTAATATTTGCTTCTATATTTTCATTGTACATTCAAAAAGTACTTATATTTCATGTAAGATACTTCATAAATATATAGAAGTATCTTACGATTCTTACTCCGTATGTTTTAGAGAAATGGTGTATCGATGTCCATGCAGCATAGCTACCTAATTAACATTTTACTTTGGCTAATGAGTAATGAGTATCATAAATAGCTGGTACGCACGAACCATCAATTTCATGGACATGAAATTTTTCCAAGCAAAACTTGATTTGTGGTAGCCTTTTAGATGATTACAACAAATATAGATAACAACATAACGGAACTCAAGACGTAGTATGAAATTGGCTTTCTCAAAAAAAAAAAAAAAAGGATGCCACATTGGCTTTAGGAAGCCTAGCAGGATACTCTTTCACTGTTTGGGTTCTACAAAATGTCAAAATGCCCATAGAAAAACATAATTAACTACTCATTTTATTGTCACCAATAGAAACAAAACCCCTAACATGGAGGGGACAAAGACTCTTGCTACAAGAGAGGAACAGGAAAATCAAAGCCAATCCCCTAAATCATCATAATTAGAAAGGTTAGACCAATATACCCTCCATGCACTCCACATACTCCTCTACATCAACCTGAAGAACAATTGAAGAGCAACTTGTATCAATAACCGGAACCAAAGAGAAAATAAAGCTTCAGTTGGCAGCATAATATGGCAAAATAAGTGGATTTCACTTGCTTATTTGGCCGAATGATTGATACCATACCTTTTCTTTTCTTTCGTTCCATAGATTCAACCATTTCAGCCAAATAAAACTTATAAAGAACACACTCTAACTTCCAAAAAGTGCAGAGGGCTTACTAAATTAGAGGGTGAGTAACGCCAAGGGCAGGGGATAGATCAAGCTTACACTTTGGAATCTTGTCATGTTAATAAGATGTCGGAAGGTAGACCCTGAAAGTGTCTTTTCCGGCTTTGAGATTCCGTCTACAGGTGGGGCATTTCCCTTGGGCAGCTATTGCAGCAACTATACATTTCTTACAGAAAATATGTCCACATTTGGTTGACGTCTCTTCCACCAGCTGTGCCATACAAACTGGACAACTTAAGGCAGGCGGTGCTGGCGGTTGAGCTGCTGCCTGCTGGTGGAACACCTTTTTAGGCTGCTTAATGTAATCCTTGCTCTGCCATTTCAAAATTTGCACACGACACTTTATATCACCATAGGACACCATATAAATGATTTCACACAATCAGATTTTATAGTATAACAAAACCTAAGACCTTATTAATTACTCTCAACGTGTGTGTATGACTTCAGTGCCGTCATGCCGATTCGGCACTGGAGCCTTTTCCTGTGTGTGTGTCTGTATTCTGTATTTCTTCTAGCTATGTCCGTTCATGATCAACTTTCTCAGGTTGTATTGTATATAGAAAATTGAAGGAGCCACACCATAGAGATTTAATTCTGAATGAAGTTATAATCCTTCACTCCTATCAGGCAGTACTGTATATCATAACATTTATATATTCTTTTGGGGGAAAGAACTTTCAATTAAAAAGAGTAGAATTTCTATGATGAGTTTTTATGATTAAATACCAGACACAAGCTGAGAAATGGAATTTCTAATTCAATAAATGTTATATGGGGTTCGGTATTTTCCGGTGTATAAAAAATATGGGGTTCGGCGATGCACTTCACTAGTTTAGTACGGAGTACTTTTTATGATTTGAAGTGCTCATTGTCATGTTCCATACTTCCATGATGTGCATGTTGTTTCAGAATATAATCCCATCCATTTTGTATTCTGGACCTAGTGGTTTTGACTTGACATGGAGTTCATTAAGGAAAATGGGAACACTGGTTGAGATTTATTCAGAAAAAAATGGAAGAATAGGAACCACACATTTTTTACTTAAAGGATTAAAAATGGAAGAAGATTTTTACTTAAAGCAAAAAAGCCAGAGATTCTTTTGGTTCCAAAATGAATTGCCAAGCCAATTATGTAAGCGCCTCATTTGCTTTCTTTTTTATATTTGAATTTGGGAGTAGATGTTTGTTTAGCCTTGTAGGTTAGAATCTTTAAAGACTTGTAAAAGTAAATTGTTCATGTACTTTTTTTTTAAAAGGAGGGCATGAACTTGTAAAAGGAAATTGTTCATGTACTTATATATATATATATATATTTTTGGTGCAAAAAAAAGAAGATTATAAGGGGCATCCAATTAAAGGATAAGTAGGAAAAGAAAAGGGAAAACAAAGCTGAGTATCAGTTTTGCAAAGACAATTAATTACAACAACAATCATATACATGTGGAGTAAACCTATTATGACTTTTTCGCTTTAGAATTTTAGCATTAGATTAGAGTAATAAGCTTATTTGGCAATTCAACTCATTATTTTATATTTAGAAGGCTGCGACTTGAAGGGCATTTAGTCATTCAAGCACAATGACTTTTAATTTTACGTTATCACACAATTGGAGAAACCACTATGTTATTTTGCATTAGTTTGAATATTTTTTTGTAGGGCTGTATTTGTACTGATTATGGCCTTGTATCAGACCGACCAGTTGCGGGTAAGGAGAATGGGTGACAGGAACCTTAACCGCGTCAACTGTTTCCAGGTTGGTTACGACTTTTAAGACTACTTAAAAAATGGAACTGGTTTTGGACTGATTTTGGATAAGGTCTCGGTCCGAAACAGAAAACAGGGCCAGCCCATAGTTCACACTCATAGACTCTAATAAATTTTTAGATACTTGATGCAACAAAATTCATGCCACCAACCTAGTGATAGTTGAACTCAATGATATGTGGTTTGCTAGAGTATTAACTACACCATCAAGCGCACCCTAGTTACTTTCTATTTATGTGTTGTTTTCATCTTTACCATGATGCCAATTAATTAATAATTCAATACATCCATACAAGATTCTCCTACTACCCAAGTACATACCTTAAATTAAAAGAGATCTATTCATCATTTAAAGCAACTAGATAGATGCCTCATCAGTCTGATTTGGGAACTGAACTCCTTCACACTCCTTCCTTACCTGAAAAAGGATCTTCTTTGACTTGACACCTTATTAAGAAGCGTGATATTGTGTGGTTAAATTTATCAAAGGAGAAAAAGATAATTGAAAGAAACCATTCCTTCTTTTTGTAGTTTTGGATTTGACGGAACAGGAAAGGATATCTTTTTTGAGAGAAAGAAGGGGTAGAAGATAATATTATTAGTTTTATTACTATTCTAGTGATTTCTTAAGTGATGATTATAATTGTCTGACAATATCTTAAATGTGTTATGTAAAATGACAAGTTGACAACAGCCGCACTCCCTCCCCCACAGACACAAAAAAAATTGAGAAGCATGACTTTTTACGTACACAGAAAAAAAACCACTGAACAGAGAATAAAACATGTAACAAAAGTTGAAAGAAACATGGAAGTAACAAACAGAGAATAAAACCCACCTTGCACTTTTCAGGAGCTTCCAAATCTATGCACACAATATTTGCACCATTCCTTCTTGAATCTCTCCTTCGTCTGTTACTGCCAGCACGAATCAACCCTTCTGGGCAGAACAAAGGTGGGTCAGGACAAACAGATAACCTCTTTCGCTAGTCTGAGTAACAAAATGATAGTTTATACTTTATACCATTACAGAAGAGAAAAAATAACATAACACGAACCCCAACCTATGTACTAGAGAGAGAACTTGGGTAATGTTTTGATAGAAATGAAAGGGAAGGGATAAGATTATAAGAATAGTCATAGAGCAGAGAGAACAAAATTATTCGAAGTATTTAGTAATTAGTAATTTAGAAGGACTGAAAGAAATCAACTTATCAAAGTTCCCTTTAAACAAAACTTCAGCAGCTTTTGGTTGAGAGTTGAGACTCCTTGATGGCATGATCAAACGTTTCTCTTTTATTTTCCATTGCATTATAAATAATTCTTATTAACCCTTATTTTCCCATTTTCCTGTCAAATGAAGTCACAAAGGCCAGACCCTTAGTGGTATATGTCAAGATCCCAGAAAATGTCAATGGAAGGGGGGAAATACTAGTGAAAGTTGTTTTCTAATGTTTGTCTTTATTTTAAAAAATGCAAAGAGAAGTGCATTGAGATTTATTTTACTTTTATTCTACATATATTTAGATTTCTTAGTCTAAATGTAATAGAGAAAAATAAATAAAACGAGTGTGAACAAATATCTTAAATAATTGTTTTGAGTTTAAATGTGCTTTCATTTTCCTCAAATTTATCTTATTCCGATTGTGCTGCTCACTATCTTAGTCTAGTACTTTTTGTGATCCAAATGAATCCTATGGATAGAACTAACAGAAAAGCGGAAACACATAGAAAGCAAAAGTAATGTCCAACTCATAAGGGCTCAAAAGTAGTGGGATTAGATCAAATATGTGTGCCCAAGAAAATAACCACATAGCCAGCAAACAGCTCTAATTGAAATTCAGTAATATACACTAAAAGATCCACATCCGCAAATTCTATCATAACTCCAGAATCCTGATGTAATTTTACATCGAGTATTTTTGTAATCTTTTTAATAAAAATTACTATTTGCATCTGAAGAATGCTAATCTCTTCATGTTCAGATTGTTTATAAAGTTCCTGTTTTTGCTCATTTCAATTCCTTACCATACTCAGTCCAGTATA